TCTCTGTGCAGACCCATTTAGGTGACTTGTCCCACCTTATAATTTGGATGAGTGGCGACTCCCTTTTTCTTATATATTTCACACTTAATTTTTCATTTATTTTGAAAATCTTCAGTGGTCGTCAACACCCACAAGATACAAAGCAAAATGCAATCCAGAGTATGGAAACCATTTCGAATATCTAGAAGGGGGCTTGCTCTATCACATCTGTTTTTTGTAGATGACCTCATGCTTTTTTGCGAAGCTTCATTTCAGCAAGTTCAGGTAGTCATGAATTGTCTTACTGAATTCTCAAAGGAATCAGGGCTGGAGATCAACTTAAATAAGTCCAAATTATATGTTTCCCCAAATATACAACGGCATGTGGCTAAAGCTTTAAGCGAAGTTTGTGGTATCCCTCTAACAAGGGACTTAGGAAGCTACTTGGGAGTTCCAATCTTGCATGGGCGAGCTTCAGTATCTACCTACAAGCATATTTTGGAAAAAATTCAAGTTAAATTGGCTGGCTAGAAACAAAATTTGTTAAGCATGGTTGGGAGAAAGGTTCTAGTCCAGGCTGTAACTTCTGCAATCCCTTCATATACAATGCAGTCCATTCTATTGCCAAATGGTATTTGTACAGCCATTGATAGTATGAATAGGAAACTTTTTTGGGGCTCTGATGTTGCTAATAAACCACACCTTGTCAGTTGGGAGACAGTGTGCCGATCACAAGATCTTGGCAGGTTGGGTTTGTGCTCAGCCAGGGAAAATAACCAAGCCTTGGTCACAAAAGTGGGCTGGCAGCTAATCTCTAATACAAATAAACCTTGGTGTAGAGCTCTCTTGGAAAAGTAACTAAAAAGTGGGTCTTTGATGCATTGCCCCACCTCTGTGATAGCTTCAGCTACATGGAAGAGTATATTGAAGTGTAGAGGCATTTTGCAATTAGGATTGCGGTAGAGAGTTGGGGATGGCCAACAAATTAAATTTTGGAAAGACATTTAGGTGAGTGATAAGCCTTTGTGTGAGATAGCTTTTTCCCCTGTTCCACTTGATTTTATGGACGCTCCTATCTCGCAAGCCATAACCCTGTTTAGAGATTGGAACAAGAGTTGGCTTGGAAATCTTCTTCCTCAAAATGTAGTTGATCAGATTTTGGCAACTCCAATTCCAATGTTTGGATAGCAAACGGATAAAATTTTTTGGAATGGCTCCCCAGATGGTACCTTCACTATCAAATCCGCCTTGTATTTGTTATAGCAACAGCATGTTAACCCAACTCAGCGTGAGGAGAACTGGAGGTGAATATGGAAGTTGCAATGTATAGAGAGAATCAAGTTGTTTGTTTGGCTCTTTCAGAAAAACAGAGTGCTCACAAACAGTGTAAGATTTCAGAGACATTTTGTAGCAACTCTTGTGTGCTCGAGATGTGAACAGGGCCCAGAGACTCCTCTTCACTTTTGCGTGATTGCTATCACTCTCATTTGATTTGGGAGACCTTCATTGTGCTTCCCATTCATTTTTTCATGCTAAATTTTGAAGAATGGTTAAGGAAGAATGCACAAGCTTCAACGTCCAGTGGTGCCCCTTCTTTTAATTGGTCAACTCTCTTCTTATCTGCTATTTGGGTGATCTGGAAAAGTAGGAATGCACTCATCTTCAACAATAAAAGGATGCCTCCACATGTTCTATTCCAGCAAGCTTGCTCCCTAGCAACAGATACACATTTGGCTCTAGCATCCAATATTCTAACTCACCCTCACCTACCACGATGGATAAGGTGGTTCCCACCTGATTTCCCTTTCGTCAAGCTGAATACAGATGGGGCACTGAACCATTCCTCAGAAAGAGCTAGTGCAGGTGGACTCATTCGGGATGATGGCGGTCGATGGATTCATGGTTTTGCTATTAACATTGGGCCACAAACTAGCTACATGGTAAAGCCTTGGGGATGTCGGATTGGCCTTTAGCTAGCTCTTGAGCTGGGTATTACTCACTTGGTTCTTGAAATGGACTCGCTCTTGGCTGTACAGATGATAGAGGCGAGAAAGGCCGGAGATGGCCAAACTTCGATGCTATTGTTGGACATTTTTCATTTGGTGAACTCCTTTGAGGTTTGCATAGCTCAACACA